TAGGGAATCCTAAAATAAAACTAAAAAGGAAAGTAAAAGAGAAAAGGCAATGATGTAAGATTAAAATAATCCTTAATTCTGAAGATGACAATGGTCCCTTAACATATTTAAATTGCTTCTTGCTCTTGTAGTCTTATCTTACTCTTTTTTTCATTATTTAGAGAATACTTTATTAGGTTCTGTAATCAAACCCATGTAGATATGACCTTACATATTTAGTACAGTGCGTTACCCCTGTACAAATGGAAAGAAAAATTAACACTTCTAGACAAATATGGCTGTCCATTTCTGTACAATACTAAATCAACAAAGTAAATTGGGATAACTTTTTCCAAAGTTGACAGCACCATTAAAGTTTCCCAAAATTCAATTTATATATATATGTATATATATGTTTATATTTATATAAAAATACTAATAATAGCAGTATGTTATGCATCAATACTAGCAACAGCTTTTCCAGGTTCTGCAGTCATCTGAACAAAATTATAGACACTCAGAACATTCCATTAAACAACAACAACAACAACAACAACAAAAACAAAGAAAATAATAATATCCAGAAAACAGCAAAGTTCTGTTGCTGTTGTGGTACCTGGCACCATTTTTTTTTATTAGCATCTTAATCATCATCTGGAAAGAGAACATCCTAGAGTAATATCATTAAATATAGCTCTGATAAAGCATGGTCAGTACTATGTATCATAAAGCAGGTACAAGATATTTTACATTCACAGAGGTATGATACAGTACCATCCTACATCAATAATCCTAGAATCAGTTTTGGTTTGAAATTTGCTTTGTCTGCAAATAAGATTGCTACCCATGTTTTTTTCTGGACTCCTGTCACATGGAGAATTGTTTTCTATCTTTTTGCTTTCAGTCTATGGGCTTCTTTTTGCACTAGGTGTGTTTCTTGTATACAACATATTGTTGGATTTTGCTTCTTATTCCATTTTGCCAGTCTATTCCTCTTGATTGGTGAGTTGAAGACATTGACATTGCTAGTTATAACTGATGTGTGCTGACTTATTATTGACATGTTATTGGCCTTTTGTTGACTCTTTTTACTTTTTCACCTTCTCCTTTTAGTTTCTTGCCTTGCCTATTTGATTTGCTCTGTTGGGCCTCATGGTGTTGTTGCCTTCATTGTCTTTTTCTAGGATCTTGTTTAGAATTGTTTCTAGTGCTGGTTTGGTATTCATGTAGTTTCTCAGGTGTTCTTTGCGGAAGTGTCTTATTTCCTCATCCATTTTGAAAGAGAGTTTTGCAGGGTCCATCAGTGTAGGTTGGAGGTTGTTCTCTTTTAGTACTTGAAATATCTCATTCCAGGCTCTCCTTGACCCAAGGGTTTGTGTTGAAAAGTCTGCTGTGATTCTGATGGGCTTTCCTTTGCATGTTATCTGTTTCTTTTCTCTTACTGCTTGTAGTATTTTGTTTTTCTGTTGGGTTTCGGGGATCTTGATTATTATATGTCTAGATTTTTTTCAATTGTGGCTAGTTGGGGCCCTTTATGCCTCAGTTATCTGAATGTCAAATTCTTCCCCTCTGTTTGGGAAGTTTTCTGTCATTAATTCTGCGAACAGCTTCTTTAAGTCATTTGTATTTTCTCCTGCTACTTCATGGATTCCTATCAGTCTTATGTTATTCTTCTTTGCATCATCTAGGAGTTGTTGGGTTGATTTATCATGATCCCTTACTGTTTTTAAGAGATCTCTCTTTTCATGGTCACTGACTGCAATCATATCTTCTATATCTGAGAGTCTATCTTTGCATTCTTTTGTTCTGTTGTGTACACTTTCAATGGAGTGTTTAATCTCCTGGATATCTGTTTGAATCTGTTTTATGGATTCCATTTCTTTCCTATGTTGGGCATTTATTTTTTCCATTTCTTTCTTATGCTGGACTTTCATGGCTTCTATCATGGTCCTGAGCTCATCTATTTTTGTGTCAGTTTCTGCTCTAGAGTCTCGAATCATGACTTCCATTTTACTCACTATCTCTACGGTTATCTGGGAAATTATTTCTGATTTGAATTTTTCTAGAGCCTGATTGATCTGTTTTGTTACTTCCTGTGCTTTGAGTTCAGGGTGTCCTGGTCGTTCACTATCAGCCTTTTCATCCTCATATGCCCTATGTTTGCCATTGGTGAACTGGAAGTCTGTCTTTGTGTCTTGCTTAAGTGTTTTCTCATTTTTATTTTTGTTGTCAGACTGTCCTTGGTTTAATCTCTGGGATATCACCCAAAGCTTCCTGATATAGTTGCGCCCTAGCTTCTGTGTCTCTAATTACTCACAGACATTCTCATCTTCATAACATCACAGAAAACAGCTCATCAAATCAACCACAATGCTTTATCCCAACTGATACAATCAGCAACACATTAAGATCAAGCACAACTTGGAAAGTGACCATCTATGGTAGTCACTAGTCTATCACCCTTAAATCATTTGAATTAAATTGAAATCAAGAAGCAGTCCAGAACATGTCTGCAGTGAACAAAATTTCAGTATAGTGTATTTACCATTTAATGGCATGACCCCCTGACCTCAGCTAGCTGATGGCTGAACCCCATGACACAGACTGACCTCAGGGTTTGCCTATTTGATTTGCTCTGTTGGGCCTCATGGTGTTGTTGCCTTCATTGTCTTTTTCTAGGATCTTGTTTAGAATTGTTTCTAGTGCTGGTTTGGTATTCATGTAGTTTCTCAGGTGTTCTTTGCGGAAGTGTCTTATTTCCTCATCCATTTTGAAAGAGAGTTTTGCAGGGTCCATCAGTGTAGGTTGGAGGTTGTTCTCTTTTAGTACTTGAAATATCTCATTCCAGGCTCTCCTTGACCCAAGGGTTTGTGTTGAAAAGTCTGCTGTGATTCTGATGGGCTTTCCTTTGCATGTTATCTGTTTCTTTTCTCTTACTGCTTGTAGTATTTTGTTTTTCTGTTGGGTTTCGGGGATCTTGATTATTATATGTCTAGATTTTTTTCAATTGTGGCTAGTTGGGGCCCTTTATGCCTCAGTTATCTGAATGTCAAATTCTTCCCCTCTGTTTGGGAAGTTTTCTGTCATTAATTCTGCGAACAGCTTCTTTAAGTCATTTGTATTTTCTCCTGCTACTTCATGGATTCCTATCAGTCTTATGTTATTCTTCTTTGCATCATCTAGGAGTTGTTGGGTTGATTTATCATGATCCCTTACTGTTTTTAAGAGATCTCTCTTTTCATGGTCACTGACTGCAATCATATCTTCTATATCTGAGAGTCTATCTTTGCATTCTTTTGTTCTGTTGTGTACACTTTCAATGGAGTGTTTAATCTCCTGGATATCTGTTTGAATCTGTTTTATGGATTCCATTTCTTTCCTATGTTGGGCATTTATTTTTTCCATTTCTTTCTTATGCTGGACTTTCATGGCTTCTATCATGGTCCTGAGCTCATCTATTTTTGTGTCAGTTTCTGCTCTAGAGTCTCGAATCATGACTTCCATTTTACTCACTATCTCTACGGTTATCTGGGAAATTATTTCTGATTTGAATTTTTCTAGAGCCTGATTGATCTGTTTTGTTACTTCCTGTGCTTTGAGTTCAGGGTGTCCTGGTCGTTCACTATCAGCCTTTTCATCCTCATATGCCCTATGTTTGCCATTGGTGAACTGGAAGTCTGTCTTTGTGTCTTGCTTAACTGTTTTCTCATTTTTATTTTTGTTGTCAGACTGTCCTTGGTTTAATCTCTGGGATATCACCCAAAGCTTCCTGATATAGTTGCGCCCTAGCTTCTGTGTCTCTAATTACTCACAGACATTCTCATCTTCATAACATCACAGAAAACAGCTCATCAAATCAACCACAATGCTTTATCCCAACTGATACAATCAGCAACACATTAAGATCAAGCACAACTTGGAAAGTGACCATCTATGGTAGTCACTAGTCTATCACCCTTAAATCATTTGAATTAAATTGAAATCAAGAAGCAGTCCAGAACATGTCTGCAGTGAACAAAATTTCAGTATAGTGTATTTACCATTTAATGGCATGACCCCCTGACCTCAGCTAGCTGATGGCTGAACCCCATGACACAGACTGACCTCAGGGTGCAAGGCCCAGATTGAGTTCCCCAACCTTCTGAATGGTTGAACTCCACAACGTTCTATTACAGGTTTCCCACACCCTTTATTTAAAGATGTTCAAAGTTGGGAACTCAGAAAAATACCCTTGATGACCACCTCTGCCTCTGCAGAGTGGGTCCAAAGGCTGGCACAATCAGGAGGTCTGAGAGTGCACAGAGGGCGGGGTATGGGAACTGAGGGGCTCCTGTGCGGCTGCCTTCCTGGCACTGGAGTGATGGCGGCTGGGGTGGAAGAAGGCATGGCTCTCCTTCCAGAGGTGGATACAGGCCCAGGCTACCTTCCCGGTGAAGCGCATTCTTTAGTACCATCCTAAGAAAGAAAGGAAGCACAGCAAGTAGTTTTTTAATTCATGCCTGTCTTGAATGTATCTCAAAAATATTTAAACAAATATTTAAATATTTTAAATATTTGAATATTTAAACAAAAGATCATTCCAGTAAAAGACCCTAATATGCAAAAAAACATTTCTCCTTGCTTTAAGCACACTTATTGCTATTGCAACTTTCCAAAGCAGCTGTCCAATTTCTTTTCCATGAGGGACTTTAAGAGCTGTGATCAGAAAAACAGTCAGTGCTGCTGCGGAGTGCCGTCCGGTGTAGAGCAGGCTGGTGAGAAGATCACAGTGCATCCCCTTCCAACTCAGTCACCAGACCTGGCTCAGTACAACTTCTAGCTCACCACTAAAGTAAGAATGACCTTGGAAGGAAAATGTTTTGAATTCAGTCAGGACAACAGAGCAGCCACAACAGCACAACAAAAGACACTCATGAAAGAGCACTTCCAGACTAGCCCCAGAAAGTGCCAAGAACAGTGGGATAATCATGCTGAAGTAAGGGGAGTATTTTAAGGGAGATTAATAGCAATTTCTTTTACTGTAATACATTTTAAAAATTAAAACACCATATTTTTCAGTCACATGTCATATATATTCTGGGTACTTCCTTGATAATTCGATTGATAATAACTCTGTCTACATGGAAAATAATTTTGTTGTGCAATTGGTTTGCAACATTGCTGTAGAAAAGTCTGGTTTTCATTCAGATTCCTGTTGAAGCCTTTATCTTCCCTTGGAGTTTGTTACATTTTTGCCAATTCCAGATATTCTAAAATTGACAGTATTATGCCTTGGTGTGGTTTATCAATTATTATCTATTGATTAATAGGCAGACACTTGATACCCTCTGCTGTATGGGAGTCAAAGTCCACACAGATCGGGTGCAGCCTATGACAGATACCCTAGTCCAGACCCACCCAGACCCCTCAGGAAGGCAGCTCTCGCTGCTCTGGCTACAACGTTCCCCTCAGCTAAGGCCCTTCCACGCAGCCTGGCAGTGACTGCCCTGTGTTAATCTGCCTCTCCCAGGAGCAGCCTGCTGTCAGTGGCGGATGCATGCTGGGATACAGCCCTGGCGTCTTCTTCACTTCGGGCAGTTCTGAAGGACCATTCCAGCTCCGACCTCCAAGTCATCTAGCTTTCCCCAAGATTTCACCATGCTCAGTCCAGCTTTCTCCTCAACCCTGCCTTTTTTATTTCTGTTCCATGGATCCTGCACCTGTACCTGCCACTCAATGTTGATGGTCAACTTGGCTGGATAAAGGGACTCCTGGGTGGTGTTTGGTTTGTGAGGGTATGAAGCTCTGATCAGTTAACCCATGGACACGGGGGTGGGTCACGAGTATGTGACCTGGGGCTGCTCTTTGTCCCCTTACTCTCAGACTCTTCTACTCTGCTTCTCTACAGCTGTACCATGAGCAGCTTCCCCAGTCCACTCTCCTGCCTTGGCATCAGGCCACAGTGGACTGAAGTTCTCAGCCTGTGAGACAGACAGAGCTCTCCCACTTTGCATTGAGGCTGTCAAGTGTGTTGTCCTAGCAATAGGAGAGCGGACCAGGACACGGGATGCGTCTGCGCTGAAGGATACCCTGAATGTCCATCTCTGTCTATAGTAGTCCAGGGACAGGGACAGCTCGCTGTGGCATGCCCCACCCTTGCTAAATATATTCCACGTTGGCCAGGGCCAGGCCACATCCATGTGGATCCCACACCCTTCCGTGTGAGCACACTTCCTTTGCTAATTTTCTTCCCACTATTCCAGCTCTCTTTCTGCATGTTTACTTGAATGTTGTACTTATTTTATTGATCTTATTTTGTTATCTTTTCCCTACTATCAATAATGTTTTTCAGTTTTTTGTTTTTTGTTTTTTTTTGTATTGGGGATCAAACAGTCCCTTGTGCTTGGGAGTCAGGCAGCAGAACCACTGAGCCAAATCCCTGGCCCTGTTTTTAAATGTTTTACTTCTGCCATAAGGATTTTCTTGACTTATCTTTGAATATTGTAATTACTTTATTTCAGTATCATATATTTATTTCCAAATAGCCTTTAACATGTTACCTTTCTTCTTCCTCCCTCCTTTTCTCTTTTTTTCTTCCTGCTACCTTCCTTTATTTTGTTTTTTTGAGAGGGTCTCACTATCTAGTTCAGACCACCCTGGAACTCACTGTGTAGCCCAGGCTGGTCTCGAAGTCTCAGTGATCTTCCTGCTTCAGCCTCCTGAGTGCTGGGATTACAGGCGTGGGCTACCACACTGAGCTCTGCTACTTTCTTTTTACTTCATGGCTACAATATATTCTGCTATGTCCTAGAATTCACTTTAGTTAATCACTCCATGTGTATGAGTGAAGAGAGCTGAAGTATAAATAAACTGTGAGCACAGACTGTACACATTATTTAATCTATGGCTTAATTTTATAGATGGTGAGAAAATCAAATAACAGAATTCATGTAAACAATTCACAATAACATTCAAATAACTGAATTCATGTAAAATATAAGTGTTCAAGAAATATTAGAATAAAAAGCTAGTGGGGTGACATTAATTTCAAATAAAGTATAGTTTTACCTTGAAGTTCACAGCAGCATTTAATATGAGATGAAAGCAAAGATCTGAAACATTTTAGAATAGGTAAGAAACCATCCCAAGTGATCATCAGTTTTTATGATTGTAGGATAATATAATCTACTTAATTGGATTATTGGCTTTTTAATGGCAGAGAGGAGTCCTTACCTAAGTCAATTATCAGATGTTTTCACATTTTAACTCTGTATAAAATGGGTCTGACCAGGACTTTTTGCCTCTTACATTTCAGAATGGTATTATATTCCAGAACATCTTCAGTGTTACCAGCATTATATTTCACCATCACACTTTTTCATCTGTAGTTATTTCCTCCTGGGTGAATGTGTAAGGAAAATGGTTTTAAGACAGAACATTAGAAATAGACTACATCATTGTTTCCCAGCATCTTCCTTCACACATTTATTCATTCTTTCTTTTGTTTACTCCACAGCCCTCTCTCCTCTCTCTCTATGAATTAAGCAGCTGTTGTTGTGTCTACTGGGTAAGGCACAATATAGAAGGAAGAGCTTCTGTTTCATCCTCACCTGTGAAGGATTTCTGCCACCAGGCAGGGTTCGTGGCTGCAGAGTCTCTCACGACTTAACCTCGAGCTCAGTAGATGGGAGCTGCAGAACAACAGCAGGCCTTGGACATCCACGTTCAGCCTGTGGGTCCTTCCTCCATGCATGCCCCTGAACGTGTGCTGCCTGGTTCCATGCCATCGCTCTGCCTTGCCTGTGTGTGGCTGTGAACTCCTGGGAGGGCAAGAGACTAACTTTCATGTGTGTATATTTTTTCTACTTTCTGTTCTTCAGCTTCTGACCCCTCTAGTTGCTGGAAACATTATTCTTCTCATTGCAGGAACTCATTGAAGATGGTTAAGACAAGAAATTTTAAATGAACAAAACATGCTATTGTCAAGAGCTGGAGAAATTGCTGTTTTAAGAGGAAGTTTCACAAAGCAACACAACAGCATAGAACCGTTGAATGAGTCGGGAAGGCTCTGGGTCAGGTGAGAGGAAATATGATTATAAAATCGGTTCCCTTGGGGCTCTGAAATACCATTTCTGAGCCTTGCTCACTGCTCTTAGTAAGACAGACTTGATATCTTTTCTCCGCTGTATCTCTGGAAGACAAGAGCATAAATTGCATAACGTGTGTGAAAACAATCTGATCTCCTTGGAAGATGGGATGACAGCCACAAGGTGTGGGGTTATGATTTTCTTTCTGGAACTTGGCTCTCAAAATAATGGCCCAAGTAGCATCATTGGAAGGAAAATATTTTATTCATCATGATCTTTTAATTGCAGGAACTCAATGTGATATAACATATTGGCTCAGAAGTCCAATACAAATGGGATCAGATGCTTCTTAAATTAAGGCGAATGCTTTACTGTATTAGTCAGGAGGGCTAAGCTAGTGCTGCGTAACAAGCAACTCCAAGATATCAGTGACATAACTCCTTAAATTATTCCTCAAGAATGCAAAAGCAGGTGGAGTCCAGATACTTAATTCTCTGCCAGTGCAGTGATCCAGCAGCCTGTGCCCCCTCAGTCTTGTGACTCCCCCATCACAGCCGGAGGTCTTCTCCATAACTGCTGTTCAGAGGGAAGAGAGACTCATTCCACTGTCCCAGCCTGGAAGTGTTGCATCCTGTTCCCTTACCCATCAGCTGCTGTTCATCAGCACCATATACACACACCACTCGGGAGTGTAGTCTCCCCGGCACCCATCAGGGAAAGGAGAATGGGCACTGGGAAGAGAATAATGTCTACCATACTAATATAATTACAAATACTGCTGATTGCCATTCTCTCGATCCTAAGGTGTAACTTAAGAGGACAGTAACCCACACTAGTAACTGCTGTTGGAGAACCCAGAGACTACAACCAAGAAGAAGTCAGTAACAGCAAGTCTCAGACATTTACTTGCTATCTTTCACATACAACTTTGTTTCTATGGCTGAATTAAGTAATCAATGGCAGGATTATTCCTTGGAATAAATAAAGCGAATAGGTTTATTTGCATAAAACTTTTCAGACCCTTTAACATAATATGAACATTGTGAATCTTACCCTCAGAATATTAAAAAAAATACTTTTGAACATAGGGAGCATGACTGTGTCCCCAGTGTTTTCCTCAGATTACTTCGTAAGTGAGTATCATACTTAGGGAAATGCTACATTGGTTACATTATGCTTACAAAGCTGTTTTTCAGAATGTTATTTGATTTAAAATGTCCTGAATATCATGTGCTCAGGAGGCAGAATTTTTGGAATATGATTAGGTCACAGAAGCTCTGCAATTGTCAGTGGATGGATCAGTGGGTGAGTTCATAGCTAAACACGATGTTAGGAGATCAGAGAAAGTGAGTCACTGGGGAGGTGACCTAGAAGGCCGCATTCTTGTCCCTGCTCCTCCCTTCTCTCTCTCCCTCTCTTTCCCCCATCCTTCCCTCTGCTTCTTGGCTGTCATGGTGAGCAGCCTTCTTCTTCTCTACCCTCTCATCGTGCCACTTTTGCCTTGCAGCATGGCAACCGTGGACTGAACCCTCCGAAATCATGAGCTAAAATAAACCTCTTGTCCTTTAAATTGAAGGTGTTGGGTATTTTGTCCCAGCAACAGGAAAGTGACTAATTTCATACAAAGTTAGTCTTTGGCAGTTAGCCTCATCCACACTGGTTAATAAACAGGCATTTCTTTTCTGCTCCTACTTAGACAGCCGTTTTTTTCATACCCTGACTTTGAAGATGTTCCATTGACTTATATTCCACTTATAAACAAACACCAAGATGGATAAGATACATTCTGTATTATTGTTACTAATTACTGTTATTTTGAGCCAGGTTCTCCTTATGTTGCCCAGTCTTGAACTCATGAACATGCCTGCCTCAACCTTCCCAGTAGCTGGGGTTATAGGCATGTACCATTGCACCTGACATAGTGTTTTTTTTTTAAATGCTACACATAGATTAGAAGAGAATTAGATGCAAAACAAATAATGTAAATGTCCTATGTGTTATTATAAACATAGCAATGATCTATGGGAACATAAAACACGTGGAAAATTCTCCTTTTATGAATTAGGAGCCCTTCAAAGACTTCCACGTGAGCTATTATTAAGTCTCTTCTATTGTTTATTTGGAAAAAGAATATTCTGGTGCTCATATCTGGGCTTACTTTATGCAAGTTATGTTGTATCTTATCCATTTTGACCCACTGGGATGACTGCACAACATTTCTTGTACTCCTGTTAGAGAAATTGTTCAGTAGCTTTCCCTCTTGGCTTCTATCACAGATTTGATTAGTCTTTTTTGCACATTCTCATTCAAGTCCCTAACAATAATTTTGCTCAAGGTAAGGCCAATGACCTCGATACAGAACTGCAGTCACTATTAGGAAACTTCATGACACTAGAGAATTATTTTCTGTTTCAAACCAATTTCAGCCTAAGTGAAAGCTCTGAATAAAGGAAGCAATTTAAACCATTCTAAGGGGACCCCTGCTGTGTAAATATTCTTCTGGTCGAGAGTTTCGTCTGAGAAGGCAGATATTGCAGTTGTTACTGATCTTTATTTTTGACATTTCCTTTTTTAGTTGCTAATTCAGAGTGAAAATTCTCTGACCCTATGTATTTCTGCTGGGGTGATTTCTTTCTTTCTTTTGTTGTTGTTTGTTCTTGCAAAATTGAATGGTTCTGCTTGTGCCAGCTTGATTGGTTGGTTTGGAAGCAGCTCAAGGGATTCGTAAAGCATACTTCTGCTGTGTCATGGATGCATGACCATAATATTATGTATTGTCTCTGGCCCCTTCCTCTCTGGCACTGTTGCTCTACTCTGCCTCTGAACCATTCTGAACTCCCACTCCCTTTCACCATGACGTTCCTGCCTTGGCGCCAGCTGACCATGGATTACATACTCTGAAACCATGAGCCAAATGAAGAAACTTCTCTTCATTTCAGTTGTGGGTGACAGGTATTTTGTCCCAGCATCAAAAAAGCTTACATACAGAAAATTGGCATCAGAAATGAGCTCACTGCTGAGACTCTACCTTTTCATGTGGCTTAGAAGCCTTTAGAACTGGCCCGTGAGATGTGTTTGGAAAGATTTGTAGATGTGACTCAGAGAAGGTTTACAATTTGGTAAGAAGAGCCTGATGAATGATTCTGGTCAGAGTTCAGAATTCCCAAATACTGATGGAACATAGATATGAAAGCGAAGGCTCAGGAGGTTTTAGTTGAAAACAAGGGCCCCAATGGCAATTGGATCGAGGCAAAGTATGGCAAAAAGTGTGTATGTTTTCTGTTTTCTCTAGTCCCGATATTTTACAGAAGACTGAGATTAGGGTGACAGGACTGATTGATCTGGCAGACCCAAAGTCCAGACTGTGGCATGGATACTCCTGGCTGCTTCTATCTGGATTTATAGAAATCATGGGCAGCCAAAAGCAGAGCAGAAAAAGTAGAAAGACTTCGACTTTGGCCCAAAAGAAACTATGTAAGGTTGGGACCAAACAGGTTTGGTTATCACCCTTACAAAGAAGCCAAGTGTTCATACAGGAATGGAAAGAAAGATGGGTTAAACTTGTCTTAGGAATCAGCAACATATCACCCATTTTAGGCTCAAAAGTGCAAAAGTGTCAACATTTTATTTGAGAAGAGAATCCTTGGGATCCCTGCTCTCCAATTACTCATTGGTAAGAAGAAGATACAACCATGATCAAGGCAAAGTAATTATACCCATTGTAAAGTTAGAATTAATTTCATAGGTCACAGGGTTGGTATTCTATGAGGCAGTAGTGAAAAAATACTGGTAAGTAAATTACAATGTCTAATATAACATTTCATTACTCAAACTTTGTTTTATGTGACTCTTTTTCATCCTTTACTTTGAAAAAATTTTATTATGACATATTAAAGAGGTACCATAGGTATAAAGAGTACAGGACATCTATTTCACATGGTTCAAGTCAAAGGAATAAATGATAAAAATAGAATTGAAGCCCCTGTGTATCACACTTCCATTCTCAGATAGAATCACTTGTCTAAATATGTCTATTTTTCCATATATTTTCTTTATTTTAGAATCTGTGCATCTTTAAATAGTACATGGTATTATGTTTTAAACACTACACAAAGGACAATCATTCTATCTTTAATCTGTATATGCTTTAGTCTCATTAGGTTGTGAATTTCATAACCCAGGCATCTGATAGAAAAGTTCAGGCTGTGTTTGTAGAATTTCAGAGCGGAAAGAGAAAGGACATGAGGTGCCATTTCTGCCCTTTCATCAAGTACCGAGAGTAGAGAGCCAGGCTTGGGTCCTTTCTCCTTATATGCTAGAGAAGGATGAAGACGGATGAAAATTTAGGAAGAATGCACCACCACGTTATAGTTAAAATGTGAACACATCTACACCTGACCCAACCCTAGCCCTGCCTACCATCTTCTCTCTGGGAGGAATCAGCAGTAGCCTTGGAACTTGGTTCTAGTTTTGACCCTTGATCTAGCCTTTCTGTTCTCTCCTAAAGCAAGTCAATCTTGAGACTTTGAGATTTCTATTTTTGTAGTTTCTGGATAGAATAATTTTGGGATAATGTCTTTGTGCTTGTTTTCTTTATATTTTTGTCCCTCCATTACTCTGCTGTTCTCACTTCAAGTCTTTGTGAGGCTCTGTTTCTAGCGGGTACTTTAGCAAGGTATAAAAGAGAAGCAGTTTTAAAATTACAGCTCTTCAAGTCTTGTAGAACACCAATCCACTGAAGAAGATGTAATGCCTCTAACAGGCAAAATAAAAAGCAATACTGCCTTTGAAGAACATCATAAAAAAAGGAGATATTCCCCAAGATTGAGCAGTAGAGATGCTGGTAAGGCTCAAGAACCACAGATGTTGAAAGTCTGAATGGATGGTTGGGATTTCTACATAGTAGTAGAGATGCCACACTGCATCACAATCTTGTTAGTGGTTTGAGATGTTGTGACTTCCACAGGGCTACTGCCATACACCGTACTACACACTGAACAGTTTAAACAGAAGTATGTTCTCTCAGTTCTGGAGACTGGAAGCCCAAGATCAAGATGCTGGCAGTTTGTTTTCCTCTGTGAAGTCTCTCCTCAGCTTTCTGATGGCTGTCTTCACATGGTCCTTCCTTTGTGTATGTAGCTATGTATTCTGATCTTCACTTCTTATAAGGATGCCAGTCAGACTGAATTGGAGTTCACTTTTTTATCCTCATTTTAACTTACCTACCTCCTTAATGGTCATATCTCCAAATATAGACACATTCTGAGATATTGGAGGTGAGGGCTTCAATGTATGGATTTTAAAGGACCTCACTCATCTCAGAAGATGCATAGATATGGAAGATTCTACACATCTTGGAAAGGGGAAAGTGCTCCAAAATGAGAGGAAAGAATTTCATAGCCTTGTGGACATAGGCACAATATATTGATGATGAATATTAACAATAGGCGAAACATTAGATTTAGAGTTAGCATCACTTATCAAAAATAACATGACTGACTTGTTGGAGATGGGAAAGGAGAGGGGAAAGGAGAAAGGAGGGGGATTGAAAATCATCATGATAGCTACGCAGCAACCCCAAATGAATGTTATTAATACTTACTAAAAACATACGCCAATTAAAAAGAAAAGGCGGTGACTAGTTTTTCCACTGGAGCCCATCATCAGTAATTAGTAGTATAAGAGGAGAATCCGCAGGGAGCTGTAAGAATACTGAGGATGGACACCTAGCTTAGCACTCAGACTTAGCTTGGATGGACCACAGACTTCATGGGGAAGGACTCGTATTCATTCCGATGCAGTGCGTGATGCAACAGGAGTATTTTCCTTTTTTTTTTTTTTTTTTTTTTTTTTTTTTTTTTTTTTTTTTTTTGCTTAGGATGCTTATAGCATGTGCCACAAAAATTGTCTAACTAGTAATAGGGCAAACCCACAATTTTCTTTTCAGGTGTCAATTCTGATTTTAAGTTTTATAAGAAAGGCATTGTCTGGTAATGTCCTGTGAGAGATATATTTATAAATAATTACAGCATTGAAGTGGAATGTAAACTGGTGTTCTGTGGTTGGTGAAAATATGCTTCTTGTCTTCTCACTTTCAGCAG